ATCTCTTCTAGGAGGTAGACCCTCCAAGGCTTTGAAAACTTCAGGATCTTCTGCTTTGATCCTCTGAATCCACCCCAAACTGACTTGGTTATCTTCATTTATTTTAACCTCAGTTTGATGAAGGCAGTACTCTTGTTCATCCTTGAATGCCCTCTTGGTCAAGCTTTTCCAAGATACTTCAGTCTTGCTCACTTTTGGATCTCCCATCAGACATCTCAACTGACCATCTTGGACCCATTTCAAAGACAGGTTATGGAAATTGAATACCACATTTCCCAACCCTGCTAGCCAATCCATTCCCAAAACCATCTCAGTGTCTCCCAACTCCAAAATGTAGAAATCTTGAGTTATAACTAGCTGCTGCAACTTCACAGTGATGGCTTCACACCTTCCATTGTTTCTAATGAGGTCCCCATTCCCTATTTCCACTTTAAACTCAGGAATTTGAATAATAGGGAGATAGGAAATTGTGAGTGGCCCCACAATCTATAAGGATTACTATCTCCTTACTTCCTCTGAGTCCCTGCACTTCTCCCTTGACCTTGAAAGTCCTGGGAGTGGTCATCCCCTCTTTGCTCATCAATGATAGCTGCATGGTTGAAGGTTCAGGTCCTTCCTCTTCAGGTATGGGTGCCAAATAATTGTCTCCTGCCTCCTCTTCCCCCTCAGAATCATCTATCATCACAATTTGGAAATACTTCATCTTACAGATGTGTCCCTTGCCCCAAGTCTCCCCACACTTGAAACAAAGGCCTTTTCTGCTTAATTCCTGAAGCTCAGCTTGAGATAGCCTGTGAGTGCCTCTTACTCCCACTCCACTGTTTCCAGTCTCATTTTTCTTTTCTGCATGATATTTCTCAGACCCTGGTTGACTGGTCACTGTATTCTTCCATTTGCTCTCACTCAACCACCTTTGAGGTGGATTGGTAACAGTCCCCTTGTTTCCTCTCCTATCGTCTTCCCTGTGCCTGCTGGAACAGAGGATAGCATTACTCTCTTCTACCCTCGAAGCCTTATTCATGACTTCTGTCAGTGTTCTAACAGGATTCTTCTTCAATTCAGCTTTAACCTCAGGCTTCAATCCTTTCATAAAAATCCCCTTAAGCATTTGCACGTCAGTGTTTTTCAAAGGTGCTGACACCAATTCAAACTCATCTCTGTACTCCATCACACTTCCAGTCTGCCTGAGATTTAATAATGGACCATATGGATCCTGATCCAATCCTGGTTCAAATCTCTCCAACAGAGCCCCTTTAAACAATTCCCAGGTTCTGACATTCGAGTGCTCCTCCCACCAGTGATACCGGTTTAAAGCCCTTCCCTCCATGGCCAGAGTTACTAGATCAACCTTCTCCTCCTCATCAATTTGATTCAATTTAAAAAAACGCTCCACCTTAATAGTCCAACCATATGCATCAGTGCCATTAAATAAAGGTAAATCAACTTTTCTTCCAGATTTCTCCATCCAACTACGTCGGTTATCAATCGGTTTGGAGGAAGGGGATCGATGACTACCTGAGATTGAACGTGAGTCACTGCTTCCATGTCTAGTACTCGCCTTAGAGTGCGATGATCGTTCGCGGGAATGATGGCGATGTTTATGTCTCAGCAGCTCGCGAATGTCATCGAGGTCACTTTTGACTTCCTCGCTCCTCCTCCTGGCTTCCTCGCGAGCCTCCTCATCTCTTAGCCTGGCCTCTTCGCGGTGCCTTGCCAGCTCGCGCTCAATCTATGCAGATTGTCGCGCCAATTCTCGCTCCAAGTTTTCCACACGGTCATTCATTTTTCTTCTCGCCGCCACCATAAACAGGTCCTCTGATCGTCAGCTCTGATACCAATGATAGGAAATCAGACCTGCGAACAATAATCTAGCAGCAGAATTGGAGAAAAAGGGACAATGCACAGTAATGGAGGAAGATCGTATAACAAACAAGAGAGAGAAATAGTGTCTGGCAGTTTTAAGAGATGCCTCTCTCCAAGTCCCAGCCCAATACAAGCCAATACCAGCCTCCAATTATTACAAGGACCTAGCTATTTATAGTAATATTCCCCCCATCCGATAACTAGTAACATATAGCTACTTATTATGACCCTTATTCCTCCTTGAGTATACATGATCAAAATACTTAATATTATTATCAAAATAGGACTGGCTCCCAGCATCCCTATCAATGGCATAATTCATCAAACTTCATGTGTAGACACACCTCCCCAAAATGGAGTTGCTGAACGAAAGAACAGACATCTATTAGAAACTGCGCGGGCTCTTCTATTCCAAATGAATGTGCCAAAACATTTTTGGGCAGATGCTGTGTCTACCGCATGTTTTTTGATCAATCGAATGCCATCTACTGTTTTAGATGGTAAAACTCCATATCAGTGCCTATTTCCAAATTATGAAAATTTTCCTATTCCTCCTAAAGTTTTTGGTTGCACTTGTTTTGTACGAGATGTTAATCCCCATTTAACAAAGTTAGATCCCAAGTCATTAAAGTGCATTTTCTTAGGCTACTCTCAAGTTCAAAAGGGGTACAGATGTTTTTCTCCAAGTACAGGTCGGTATATTGTTTCAATTGATGTCTCCTTTTATGAAAATACACCATTTTCCTCAACAGACACAAATATCTGTAAGGAGAATGATGATATACTCATTTACACAGTCACTATACCCGAGTCCAATACTTCAGCAGTTCTTCCCCATGTTACTTTTCCTGAGCCTAGGCCTCCGATACACTTGGTATACACCCGTCGACACAAAGTGCAAGATCACCCTCCACCTGTGGTTACTTCTCCTGATACTGATCCGATCTCATATCCTGAACCGACACCTGCATCTTCAGATCCTGTCTCTACATCAGATCTTGATCTCCCCATCGCACTACGTAAAGGTACACGGTCTTGTACTCATCCTATTTCTTCATGTGTGTCGTATAATCAGTTATCATCTGCCTCATGTTCTTTTATTGCTTCCATTGATTCTATTTCTGTTCCCAAATCTGTTAAAGATGCTTTGTCTCATCCTGATTGGCGTCATGCCATGGTAGAGGAAATGAATGCTTTGGATCTTAATGGTACCTGGGATTTGGTAGACTTGCCTACAGGGAAGAAGTCTATAGGATGTAAGTGGGTCTTTGCTGTAAAGGTTAACCCTGACGGATCCGTTGCTCGATTGAAAGCCCGATTAGTTGCGAAGGGTTATGCTCAAACCTATGACGTTGATTATTCTGACACATTTTCTCCTGTTGCTAAATTAACATCTGTCAGATTACTTATTTCTCTCGCAGCAACTCATGGTTGGCACTTACATCAATTGGACATTAAGAATGCATTCTTGCATGGTGATCTTCAGGAGGAAGTTTATATTGAGCAACCTCCGGGGTTTGTTGCTCAGGGGGAGTATGGGAAAGTTTGTCGACTTCGCAAGTCTCTTTATGGTTTGAAACAGAGTCCCCGTGCATGGTTCGGGAAATTCAGCCAATCAATTGAACGATTTGGGATGATAAAAGGCAAATCAGATCACTCTGTATTTTACAGACAAACGAAAACAGGTATTACATTGTTTGTGGTGTATGTCGATGACATTGTGATTACAGGGAGTGATAATACAGGTATTTTGGCCCTAAAGAATTTTCTTCATAGTCAATTCCAGACGAAAGATTTGGGCTCATTGAAATACTTCTTGGGAATTGAGGTTACACGGAGTAAGAAAGGCATATTTCTATCTCAACGTAAATATGTGCTTGACTTACTAACTGAAACAGGGAAATTGGGGGCAAAACCAAGCAGTACTCCCATGATTCCCAATGTACAACTCACTCATGAAGGTATGTCATTCGAAGATCCGGAAAGATATAGACGGTTGGTTGGAAAACTTAATTATCTCTCAGTTACCCGTCCAGATATTGCATACTCAGTGAGTGTAGTAAGTCAATACATGTCATCTCCGACAGTGGATCATTGGAATGCTGTAGAGCATATATTATGTTACTTGAAGGGGACACCGGGACGAGGTATTGTTTATCAGAATCATAATCACATGAGAATAGAATGCTTTGCAGATGCTGATTGGGCTGGATCTAAAGATAATAGAAGATCCGCATCTGGCTATTGCGTCTTTGTTGGTGGTAATCTCGTCTCTTGGAAAAGTAAGAAGCAGAATGTGGTTTCTCGTTCGAGTGCTGAATCAGAATATCGGGCTATGGCACAATCGGCATGTGAGATAATCTGGATAAACCATTTATTGAGTGAAATGGGATTGAAGACACCAATGCCTGCTAAACTCTGGTGCGATAACCAAGCTGCTATACACATTGCCAACAATCCAGTGTTTCATGAGAGAACAAAACATATTGAGATCGATTGTCACTTTGTTCGAGAAAAGATACAACAAGGATTGATCTCTACAGGACATGTGAAGACTGGAGAGCAACTTGGAGATTTGTTCACTAAAGCACTAAATGGAATTCGTGTTGGTTACTTATGTAACAAGTTGGGCATGATAAATATTTATGCTCCAACTTGAGGAGGAGTGTGAAAGACATTATAGAATATTCTTTAGAATATGTTTTAGAATATTCTTCTATCTTTAGAATATGCTTTAGAATATTTTAGGAATATACTCTAGGATATTATTATTGTATAGAATCTTAAAGGAATATTCTATCTTTGTAATGTATATATATATGGGCTTGACCCTCCAATGAAATACACACAAAAATCATTCTTCTCATTACTATTCTATCTTTAATTCTTACAACACCCTTTTTGGAAAGTTTTGTGTGGCTACCATTAAATTACCTTTTTCTTACTCAACCACAACCATACATTTCCACTTTATCCCCACTTCCTTAAACTCTGATTCAAATCAAAGTGGGAACTATTTTATGGGACGGAGGGAGTATACAATTTATACACACACACACACTTTGTATACAGCATCAAGATTTTAGGAAAATGGTTAGTTTCAGAACAGTCTATTTCTGAGTTTGTGGATCTTGCAGGCTTCTTTTCAGAGAAGCATATTACTTTTCTCAAGGACCATTTCGGAGATTGTGGATAAGAAAAGGATATGACCCTCGCACAGATCCTGAGTCTCGCATGTGAGTTATTTCCTAGCTGAAGTTTTAATATTTGTTTTTTCCATAATTAGTTTTTCTTGAGGTGGTACAATGGCAGTCTTCAAGTGGTGCAAACATAGTTTCTAAACAAGCTATATGCTGTTATACACTTGCACTAGTTGCACGGGAGTTGCACTTTTATAGGAGGTGTGTTTCGGCTGTCACTCTCTTTTTTAGTATTCTATAAAGTAATGTCCCTAATTGTTGATAGAGTTTTTACTAAAAAGGATTTCTTGATATAAATATAAACTTTTAGGAGTTATTTCTGTTCAGTTCCCTCTTAAAACAAATAACTTATTATTTTAAGTTTTATTTGAGTTTTTTGTTGCTGTAAATCCAACACTATTTAGTCGGGAAGGGAAATGTCATTTCTTACTAGTTTCCATGCATGAATGTTTTATTTTCTACCTTATTAGGCTTTTGCTTTTCACCGTAATATGAATATTAAACTGCGAGTTTGTTTAGTTACTGTCCTCAGTTACTCACTACATCCAGCTGCAGCTTTTAAGGTCAATATAGTGAACTTACTTTGGAGTCTGCTTGAACAGATATCAAAGTATTGATTTTCGAGTACATGATCCATTGTTGCAAAGTTACTGCGAGGCTCAAGCAGAATCGGGGTACTTCGCTTATTGCATCTCTATTGTTTGGAACTTGATCTTTGAGGCATTTTAAGCATTCTATCTTCCTTAAACAGTCTTATGCTTGAACGTGGAAGAGCTTTTGAAATGGTATATAATTTAAAAGGTTTTTTTAATCCCGAGGACAGAAGTGGTCCATCATTCCATCTAACTGGAGAATGAAATAACATTGTTACCAAACTGAACACTGCAAGTTTTTTTACTTCATTCTAGACTTCTATATGATTATTTAAGTTAGATCGGGTAACCAGGCAGAATAGAAATATCTGGCCTCAGGTTAGCTTTGCATAAATACTCATGTCCTTCTTTCCTTGATCTGATATGATGTAGAACACCTGTCTATCTATTTGTGAACTGTGAAAAATAGTAGGTTTGCGAGTGATGCCACTTTCTTTTCTTTACAGAGTGAAGCACAGATGGACAAATGTATGCTCATTTCAAGTTTTCCCTTCTAAGTGCCAAATATCATTGCAGCTTTGCGATCTTGTTGATGATTACATCCAAGAAGAGATAAAAAGACCACATAAGACAACAAAATGCAGTGTATGTCACTATCATTATTTCAATACTGATTTGCTCAGGGAGAGGGGGGCGTTTGACTTGGTTGTTACCGTTTGGCAGATGCTTCTTTCCACATTTTGCTCTACTCCTGTTGTTGTGTCCTTAAGATGAGTTTAGTTAGTGGACATTGTAAATTTAAGGCATGGTATTAGTTTATCTGCTAAAACTGCTATGCATTGACGACTTAGAATACCATAATACTCCCTCCGTCCCCCTAACTTTTTCCCGTTTTACCTTTTTCGTCCATCCCGTTTTACCATATTTGGTAATATTTGGGTGGTTACAATTCATTCTTACTTTATTCACACTTTATCAATTCAATACCAACCATACAGTTCAACTTTTTCTTAAAAGTTGTGCCACATCCCTTTGTCCCAAACATAATGGGATGGAGGTAGTAGTTTTTCCGATACTTGACATCCAGCTGATCAGAGACTAGCTTTTCTTGTTTATGCCTGATTGTATACAACAACAACAACAACAACAACAACATCCAAGCCTTAGTCCCAAAAGATATTGGGGTCGGCTAACATGAATCGATACATGATATCACCACCAAAAGGAAAAGAATAGCAATATTCATATTTCGATTCATGTCATGTGATGTGACTAGGTGATACTGTTGGCCGTCACACGCCTACCACAACACCCTCCTCCTTTATCCTGGCTTGGGAGAGACATGATACCAAAAAAATGATATCATGGCGGAGTTTTTATGCCTGACTGTATACTAGATTCTATTCCTAATCTACACAATCTCTTACTTATATTACTTACTTGTATAGTAATATGAGACTTTTATGCTTGAGTACTTAAACTACTTTTCACTGATTGTGAGCAAGTTCTTAGATGATGTTCTTTATCGTGTATATACTTCTCTGAATCCATGCAAATATATTTCTGCTCTGTATGATTGAGTTGTGACCATTCCTCATAATGCTTCTGCGTCAAAATTATTTGGTTGACAGTGTCAAACTGGGTGGTTCCCCTCTAATGTGCTTGAGTGCCTCAGATTGCGTGTTTCTATCAGATTTGTATCTGTCTACCCCAATCCTGGTGCGGAACAATTGCTAAAAAAACTTTCTGCCCGCTTTGAAAGATCAAAGAGAACACCAAGTCATGTGATATGTGATGAAGAGAAGGAACAGGAAGATGTTGATCTAGGTTCAACTTCTACCACAGTGCTTCACTATTCTATATTCTTCAGAACTCAATCTATTTTTTTAATAAATGCATATACGTATGTATTTTTATTTAAATGGATTTATATGTATATCCATGGATGAGTACCGTTTTATTATCTAAAAATTGAAGTCACATATTTGAAATTTAGTAAGCGTGGAAAAGTACTTTTTGTATTACCATCAACGACCCATCCTTATGATAGCTTATTTCGTAAATTAAGGCCCAATTCAGTGGCATTGATCAGCAAGTTCTGCTTATTTTGCTTATAAGCAGAATAATAGCATGTTGACTACTTAGTTATTTGGCTCTCTCCCTCACAGACACGTGAACATCATGGTTTTGTATTTCTCCATTGATTCAGATTTGAACTATAGCAAAAGTGTTGTTATGCTAACTTTCATTCTTATGGGTCAGACATGGAAAATAATGAAGGCAATGAAGATGATGATGGTGATGAAGGTGAGGTTGAGGAAGACAAGGATGAATTTGAAGGACATGACATGGTAATATAGTTTAGAATTACTTTTGTCATTCATATCCGTTCAGTTCTAATGCTGCTTTTACTTTTATCTTTTAGGTTGACCCCAAAGGGAATATATCTTCACAACATGGTTTATGTATCCTTTACATGATGTCATGTGTTTTTTAATTGCAATGATCCAGCGGGCAATTTTGATGGTATTGAATGAATTTGCAAACCAGTGACCCATGAAGAATTTTGAAAATTACAAATAGCCCCTTGAACAGTCAGTTTTCTTGGTAAAGTATACTGAAAGATGATGGGATAAAACTATAACAGTAGGGGCTGAGTTCTCAGACTAAATTACCCTCAACATTTGTCCTGGCAAATTTTGAAAAGAGAAAGCTCCAAATATTTTAGCTGATAATATGTACTACCACCGCACCCTTTGGACAATATGGGGTGGTCTGGTTTTTAGGAAAAGTAGAATTATGTTATGTGGTTGGTAATGAATCAGTAAAGTGTGAATAAAGTAAGAATAAATTAGGACCATGCAAATACTACTACCAAATATGATATGAGACAGACTTAGTGGGACGAACGAAAAAGGAAAAAAGGACAAACATAGCGGGACGGAGTATTTAGAAACACCAAGTTCAATCTTAAGATGTGTAATTCATGTTATACGGACTATCATTCTAATTTATGACCTTTCAGTGTTACAAGGGCTATTTATAGAAAATCTGAGTAGCCAAAGGGTTTATTTTTTGACAATTTTCCTTCTTGTACGGATGTAATGTACAAACTTGTTGCCAAAATTACAATGAACTGTACTTAATAACAGACAGACAATGACACCATATCTAGGACATACCTCCAAGAGCTTTTTGGCAATTTTCCTTGTACGGATGGAATGCCTGAAGTGCAAGTTGACCAGACAGATGGAGAGTACCAGATCTATGATCAATTTGGTGATGAGGATTACTCTGAAGCTGATGACTACTAAGGTGTCATATCTAGCTGGTATGGCAGTTTGTTTAGGGGAATATTGTTAATAATAATTATTAATTAAGTGATGAACTAAAGAGGCCAGAATACAATCAGAAGGATAATGTTTCCAAATAAGTCAGTTAGGCATTGAAACTGACACACTAGCGAGAGAGTGAGCAGCTCATTCTCCAGGTAGTCTTTTTATTTTTTTATGTAAATTATGTTATATTGTTTGCTAACAAGAGTTCATAGAACATGATTGCCCTCTTAATTATGTATTTTGTAAATATCATTATTCTGAGACTGAAGAAGCTGAAGTACCGGGTTTAAAGAGCCACTTGGCCAAGGAATTTGAACTTTAAGGCATTGTTTGGTAACTTTGGTTCAATGGAGAGAAGGGAAGGGGGGAGCCAATGAGGGGAAGGGAAGGGAAGGGGAAAGAAGCATTTTAATAAAAAAAATAGTGTTGGTACTTTGGTTGGAGGAATAGGAGGGAAGTTTAATGAAATTATTTTCTCGATTTACCTTTGTTTGATAGCTTATTTAATAAGCTAGATACGTGAATACGTCTAACTATTATGAATTATGAAAATTGATTGCTCTGTCTAACGGATGGGGGTGAGTTGGAATTGTAGGGGATCGGTAGCCAAGGAATTCTGAAGTTTCAAAGATAATAAAGAATCACGTGTTTTTCATTATTTCGGTATACATATTTTTCATTATTTCGACAAAAATTGCTCAAAATAGGATTAAAATATAAATAAAGTTAGAAAATAAGATTACAAATGTTTGTTCCTTACCTAGAGCCTTTTCTAATCATATTTATCCTAGAAAAAATGGTACTCTATTAGAAAATAATGTATATTCTACACCTTATTGGTAAATTAGTAAATATACCATTTCATTCCAATTGATGAAAAGTATATACTCCGTAAGTAATTGCCAAATTTTCTCTAGCAGGACACATTTAGAAACTCAATTAAATTGCGAATTTAATTATGTGATGGAGGTGACAAATATATCGGTCTTTAAGGACAGAAAATAAATTAAAAGCTATTTTTTGACTCATTATCCTAAAAGTAGCATTGTTTGGATAGTTAGCTTAACTAAGCTTAAGCTGGAAAAAATGATCTGAACCTACATGCTACGTACGGAATGTAGCGTTTTTGTCCAGTCTATTGTTTAACACCCGGTTCATACCAAAATTATCCTTTCCTACCGGTACGTTTCACTTCCCGGAAAAAATTGCTCACAATCCACATGCCACAAAACTGCTCCGCCTCTTCTCTCCTATATTCTTCTTTCACATTTTTTCTGCCAACATATTTCTGAATTCTTCTTAATTAGCCTTTTTCCTCATACTTTAGTTTTTTACCTTGATAATAAACCCAACTCATAATCCACTCAGAACTTGGTTCATCTCTTCCCTCTCCTTTGCCTTTATGAATTGGGTATCGGATCTTCTCTAGGGATGGATTCGGTTCGGGTCGGGACCGGTTCGGGCCTTGAACCGACCGGGCCTCGGTTCAAGGTATGGAAGGCCTGGAACCGGCCCGGGTAACCCCCGGGTCCAGGCCGGGTCCGGGTCGGGTCGAGCCTCGGTTCTATTTTTTTTTTGGCTTTTCCTAGTTAACCCCCAACCTTCCCCCTCACCCCCAAACCAACCCTAACCACTTCAAATGGCCCAAAATATCCAGCCCAACCCAAAAACTTAAAAAAAATTCAAAAACAAAAAAATTGGCCCGGCCTGGGCCCGAACCGGCTGGGCCGGTTCACCTTTTGAAGGGCCCGAGCTCGAACCGCCATCCCACCGGGCCGGGTGGCCCGAACCGGCCAACCAACCGGTTCACCGGGCCGGTCCGGGCCCGTAGCGGACCGGTCCGGTTCCGGGCCGGTTTGCCCGACTCGAGTCCAACCCTAATCTTCTCTATCTTGATGATTATGACCACAACGATCTTTCTTTTGAGTGTTTACAAAGAAGATGTTTATGAAAACATGGTTGGGTTTAATTTCCAAAGTTGTCTATTGGGGCAATTAGATACACATTCTATCGTCTTAATATTTATGAAAATATAATTTTTGTAATTATTCTCTTTTAATAAATATTATGTCCTCTAATGTAATTTCATATTTTTGGTCATCCTTTCAAATAGAGGATTTTAAAATTCTCTAGTTGAAAATTCAGATTCAGCACTTCAAAATTCAGTTTCAGACAATAGTCTGCGTTTCAGACAATAACCCTTATTTTAGACATTAGCCTCTAGCTCCAGCTTTTTGTGACAAACATAGCCAAGGGACTAGAGGATTATTATTTGAAAAAATTCAGATTATTATTTGAAAAAGTTGAGGATCATATTTTAAGTGTGGGATAAGGTCTACTTGGATTCACTTATCACACTTTAAATATCACAATTTTAAGTTTCCCAAATTAGAAGGTATTGAAGAGTAATCAATTAAATGAGAATTCTAGAGGGTTTTGTAACTCTCAAACAAAAAGAGTGATTTCATTAGCTTCTTTTCCCCTTCCCCTCCTATGGTTAAGCCTTCGAAATCTTACCCTCGTATGGCTTACCTTCAAATCCTTTTCCTCCAATTCCTCCCGAACTCCGGAACATACCCTAGGTTATACGTATTTTATACTTATCACTTATGATGGTTTGTTTTCTCTAAAATTTATTCAATATTTAATGGGAAGAAAAATTATTTATATTAAAATGGGTTTTACAATGATAATGACTCCCTCCATCCCGAACTATTTAGTCGGAATTACAGTGACTCCAAAATCGAATTTATTAAGAACCATGTATTCGAATTAGATCCAACTCACATATTTTATTTTCCTCAAAATTGAAAGAGATCAGAAACAGTTGGCTTATGGTTATCAATGAAGCCGATCGACTCAGAACGAAGAGGACCGAAAATGGTAGATGTGTTGTTCAGAAGTGTACTTGATATGATATGTACGATACTATCTATGTTGCAAGTTAAGTAGTACTACATCCCTATCCCATGGTGGATTTCTGTTTCAAACATAGAATACTACTCCCTCCGTTCCTAAAAATTCTTCCTGGTTTGACTTGGCACGCTTATTAAGAAAGTGGAATAAAGTGGAAATGTATGGTTGTGGTTGTGTAAGAAAAAGGTAAAATGAATGTAAGCCACACAAATTGTCCAAAATGGGAAGTGAGAAGTATTTTTGGGAACAACCCAAAAAGGAAAGTGGGAAGTATTTTTGGGAACGGAGGGAGTAAGTATTTGGGAGGTGAACATGTTAAGTAGAGACAGATTGGTCATTTCATTCCGAGTTGTCCGTAGACATGTCATGCTTTGCCAATACCAAAAAAATGATTGACTTCCCATTATCTCATATCACAAATTGTAACATACTCCTCCGTCTCACTTTAGTTAGTCAAACTTGACTTTTCAAGTCAATAACGTTTAATTTTGACCGATTATATGTTTACAGAGAGAAAGTGGTAATAATATGAAAATGATACGAAAATGTTCTTTGTTAAAAATACTACGGAGTATCATAAAAGTATAAAATTATTAAATTTTACATAAATATATTGATTTAAATAGTTGGTGAAAGTTTACCACTTTTGACTGGAAAAGTCAAAGATGGCTAAGTAAATTGGAACGAAGATAGTATGATCTTTTGACTATGTTAAAATTTTCAAATTCCTTAATTTGAAAAAATATGCAGTTTTTTTGCATTTTTTTAGTAACATACGTGAATACGTTGTTATGAACTTATGATATGTGTTTTTTATTTTTCCTTTATTTTTGAGAACCGTGTTTTCTTTTCTTATATATAGACTCAATAATAAATGAGAGACCTCTAAATTTAAATTACTGCACTCAATTTGAAAAGGACAGAGCTTCCATAACGACCATAATACCACTAACGAGTCAACTAAGAGCATCTACAATGTTACAATGTGCACGGTGCACATGTGGTATGAGAGATAGCCATAAAAGTATTAGTATATAAATTCTTTATCTCCTTATTTGAATGGTTTTATGCAGTTTTGGTAAGTTTTTCTCCACAATCTCAAGGAGATCGTCTAGATGTTGACATTGCAGGGAGAATTTACCAAAATTGTATAAAATCATACAAATAAGGAGATAGATAATTTATTTGCTAATATTTATGTGGTTATCTTTCATGTCACATGTGCACCATATACAGTATAGCATTGTTAATACAAATGTTTAGTATTACATGGATTATAATTTTAATTTTTGGTATCACCTTTTCATTTTTGTCATTATTGTTTGAATTAATACATGAATTTTATATTTTGGATGTGCAACGCACGGGTACAATACTAGTTCGTGTCAAAACCAAGTCAATTGATAATTAAAGAATTCGTATAACAAATTCAGAATAAAGAATTCATAACAAATTAACGATGATTTTATATTACATGTCAAACTAAGGAACTGTTTACGTTTTTCTTCTTGGGGATGTCTTATATGGATTTTTTTACTCAATGATTAAGTCGTGTTTTTAATTAAGTCGTAAGTAAATATGACTTAATGGATTAACGATTAAGTCACTGTTTTCATTAAATCATTAAGTCGAAAGTAAACAATGTTAGATTATTGGACTTATACTACATGTAATATTCACAGTATATTATTTATCGGGTTTAATTGTATGTTATATGCTATCTTATATTTAGGCCCAAAAATTAGTGGTCCTTTGGATATTAATTTAAGTGGGCTAATAAGTTATAAGGTATAGGGCCCAAATGTGTAGAGACCCATGGGCTTGACCTAATCAATGATGGGCTGATTAGGGTTAAGCACTCTCTATAAATAAAGGGTTATGGTCCCTAGTTGTACACGCCATTCCATCTTTCTGCATCCCATCACTAGAGAGATAATCCCGAGGGTGTGTATCAACTAGAAGACACAAACCCTAGCCTCCGTCTCCCGGATCTCTAAAGGCCATCTCCCATGGAGTCAGGTACGCTTCCGCTCAGTTAATTCTCTAGATAATTTCAATATGAAGATTAAAGTATTCATGGATTTATTCCAACAATTGGTATCAGAGCCTCCTTCATATTGAATTATTTGGAGTATTTTTGTCGAATCTTAATGCGATTTTGTATTTATGTTGTTCGTTCCCGCTGTATTCATCGAATCGGTACTTGATGATCGGATATTTTGATCTTTCTCTCAATCGCACTTAAGATTAACAATCGGAATTCGGTGCATAAAATTGGTTGTAAATTATATATGTCGATTGATCAGGTTTTTTTTTGTTACTGTTTTTGTTATTTGCTTTATTTGGCATTCTGCGAATCTGCAATTACTCATTCCACTAATGGAGTCAGTTATTCTTTTCTGTTGCTAT